CCAAATCAACCTAATTACCCACAACCTCTAATGTACCAACAACCAATGTACCCACAACAACAACCTCCCTACAACCAATATCATCACTACCAACCTTATCCACCACCAATGTACAAACACCAACCATACCCATACCCACCTTACCAACAACCTCCCACTTACATGAAACAATATCCCAATAACCCCAATCCACCCAACCCCCTCTAGAGTTAACACTTATACAAATAATAGAGACGGTTGTTACTCACACACCTCTTGGTATTGTTTATCCCGCAAACCGCCGAGGGATTGAATTAAAGTAAAGTTTCATACAGCAAATCACCAAGTTCCATGGTTTGGATAGAGAAGATCCTCAAAGGGATTTGAAGTCCTTTCATATGATATGTGTTAGCATGTTGCCCGAACATGTGACATTGGATGATTTCAAGTTAACCGCCTTACCGCTCACCTTGGAAGATAAAGCTAGAGAGTGGTTATTCAACTTACCAATGGGATCTATTTACGCATGGGAAGAGTTACTCAAAGCCTTCAATAGCAAGTTCTATCCCACCTCTCGGATATCCATTCAAAGAAGTGACATTTTGGGGATTCGTCAAGGGGAGAATGAGACTTTTCATGATTTTTGGGAGCGATATAACAACTTGTGTACAAGTTGTCCTCAACACAACATACCCGAACAACTACTTCTTCAACAATTTTATGAGGGTATGAATGAAAAAGATCGAAGGATGATTGATGCTTCAAGTGGTGGTGACATCTTCAACAAGACACCTCAAGAGATAAGATTACTTTTTGGTACCATTTCTCAAAATCAAAGAAACTTCACAACTCGAAATGAAATGAAGAGAAATTCCCCACAAGTGGTTGGTGAAGTTAGCAACACCCAACACTTGGAATCAAAGCTCTTGGATTTGACTAATGTGTTAAGTCAAATGGTGGTGGGAAGTGGTCAAAAATTGATGGTGTGTGGTATTTGTGCAATGACGGGGTATTATACACATAAGTGTCCCTCACTTGGTAGTGAACCGGAGGATGTTAATGCAGTGGGTGGATATCAAGGTGAAACAAGACCCATGGGATTTCAAAACACATAC